GGGGGGAGATGAAGTGGGGAAAGCAGGTGGTCTGCTCCCCCAAGAAGCTGTGACTTTCCCCTGACTGCATGTCAGGCGTGTCCCGGGAGCTCTGTATGTCCAGAGAGACCCTGTCTTCTCTCACTTTCCACTGACTTTCTGAAGCCCTCGCACCCTTTGGAAAGCCCGGCATGATGTCCCTGCAGACCTACTTTTGAGGCCTCTCCGCTGCCCCCCGCCCCACCTTGGGGAGCCCTGGAGTGAGGTGACCTTGCTAATCAAAATGTCAGTCGTTCCGAACCACCAGCTGCCCCCGGGAGAAAGACGAGGCTTTGTGCTCCCATAGAGTGACCGTCTCAGAAACCCACAGGAGCAGTCCCGCCTGTCCCCTGGAGTCACCATGAGTCAGACGCTGCTCAGTAGCAGTGAGTGTCCCCCGATTCTGGGGCCCCAAGAATGACCAGGCATGGCCTCAGGGGTCTCCCCCCACCCATCCCTGGTGCTCCAGGGAGACTCCCCTGTCCCTTGCTCTGGGGACAGAAGAGTGGAGTGGGGGTGGGGAGGACCAGGGGTCAGTTTCAGGAAAGGTAAAAATCAAACCTGCACTGGGCAGCACTGGTTTTTAAGGCCATCTAGAACAGTCGATCGCAACCTGTGGGTCGCGACTCCTTTGTGGGGTCAAACAACCCTTTCACAGGGGTTGCCCGATTCCTAGCAGTAGCAAAATTACAGTTATGAATTATCAATGAAAATAAAGTTATGGTTGGGGATCACCACCACATGAGGAACTGTATGAAAGGGTCGCGGCATCAGGAAGGTTGAGAACCCTGCTCTAGAAGGTCCAGGGCAGCAGCCTCTGCACCTCCCCGGTCTGCACCATCCTGAGCTTGCTATCAACCCAGAGACACCAGTGCTCCAGGCCGGGGTGCCCCCCACCTAGGGCCCCAAGCACCCCTCTTCTCTGGGCACCGACAGCAGCCCCAGCCAAGAAGCCCGAGCTGAGCAGGGCTTGACCCGAGCCTCGGTCTCCTTGGCAGAACACACAACCTGGGACACGGCTCTCAGACCCATTCTGAGGGAGGTCCACCAAGTCCAGCCAGCTGCCCCCTCCCAGGGGGACTTGAAGGTCAGGGTGCAGCCTTGCACACACTGAGGGCATGTTAACACCTACGCTGACCGCCTCCCCGTCCCTCAGGGACTGTGCCCCGAGTTCAGCAGGGGGGCGAGGTCCACACTGGCTGGAGGGGCACCTCCAGGGTTGGGGCTTCTCTGAGGGAGACCCCCCGCTGGCTGTGGTTTCTTCTGGCCCTTTCTCAGGAGAGGAAGAACTGGGCTGTAGGGCTTGGTGAAAGGTGGCTCGCTCGGGAGCGACCCTAGTGACAAAGCCTGCGTCTGCCCTGTTCTGGGTCCTGGTGGACAGGGCTGTGTGCCCTGTGGGTTGCTTCGCCCTGCCCTTCCCCCGGGGACGATGCTGACTGTCCCCATCCCCCCCTGCAGCCTCTGAGCCTAACCTGAAGTTACGCTCGCGGCTGAAGCAGAAGGTGGCCGAGCGGCGCAGCAGCCCCCTCCTGCGCAGGAAGGACGGCCCCGTGGTCACTGCGCTCAAGAAACGCCCGCTGGATGTCACAGGTACGTGGGGTCTCCGCGCACGTGGACTCTGCCAGTCTGCTCTGCAGCCGCCCAGAGAGGCGTGCACCCCAGGGTGCTCTGAGGACAAGAGTCCTCCCTATGGAAAGTCCGTGGCCCGGGACCTCTGGGCGCACCTGGGGGCCAAGAACCACCCACCGCCAGGTTGGCCGCTGAGCTCCCCGCCCTCAGCTTGTGGGAGGAACCCAGCTGCTCTTTAAGGGGCTGCTCGTGACCCCCAACTAGAGGCCGACGGCAGAAGTGCACCGTCTGCCGCTTGGGGAGATGTCAGGACCTGATGGGCTGTCAGGAACACTGGTGGCACAGTGGGCTGTGTGTTGGGCTGCTAACCAAAAGGCCAGCAGTTCAAAGCCATCGGCTGCCCCAAAGGAGAAAGATGAGGCTCTCTGCTCCCATAAAACCCACAGGGGTACTTCTACCCTGCCCTATAGGGTCGTTATGAGTCAGAACCAACGAGATCAAGTCAGTGAGTTTGATTTAGGTTTGAGATTAGAGCGCCCCCCCCCCCCCCGCCGGGGCCCGGGAAAAAAGGAAATCCTGCCCCTTTTTGCCCCCCCCCCCCCCCACTGTGTAACACTGTCTCCTGTGCTCATACAGCAGAACGCCCCCACTGCCAGCCCCCCTGTGTAACACTGTCTTCTGTCACCACGTGGCAGACCATGGTGCCCGCTGACACGCGTGCCCACCTTGTCGCCCGCAGACTCGGCGTGCAGCAGCGCCCCAGGATCCGGGCCCAGCTCCCCCAACAACTGCTCCAGCAGCATCAGCTCAGAGAACGGCCTCACACCGGCGGTCCCCAGCCTCCCGGCTGAGGTCAGCACCCAGCGTCTGCATGTCGTGCACCTACCTGCTGGCCACCCTGGCTGCCCCTGGGGGATAGGGCAGGCGTCACTGAGCCCTGGACCAGACGCATGTGTTGGGGGTGCTGGCACAGGACTGGGAGCCCAGGGGGTTCACAGCTACAGACTGAGAAGTCCTCAGATTAGTCAGTGACCTGCAGTCCTCCTCATGGCCAGAGGGGCATGCCAGGGACCCTGGGCATCAGGTGCAACATGGGGCCCACCCCCCACACCACGTTGGTCAGGCCTGGCTGTGCTGGGATCTGGAGGGAGCCCCATGGGACAGCCAGGAGAGACGGTTTCAGAAATCACCCATAGGGCAAGGAAGCAGCTCGGGCTCCACTGAGCAGGTGGCACAGGGACAGCTGGTGGAGGGTGCCAGGCAGCAGTGTGCCCTGCATGGCCAGTATGTGGGGTGACCTCCCTGGCACCACCTCACCCCTCCGTCCATGGCCTTGTTGACTCAGCTGGGCCCTTGAGCTCCCGATGAGCTGGCCGGCCCCACACTGGCCTTGGGATGCCTGCTTCCAGCAGCTTCCCGCACTCCTCAGGCCTAAGGGGGTGGGGCCCCTGGAGCGTGTTTGCTCCCTCGTGGAAGGAGTGGGTTCCTCCGGCCTCTCTCCCGCACAGTCTGGGTTTCTAGCCCCAGCCGCTGTTGCCCCTGTCTCCAGAGCCTCAGTGTTCTAGAAGATGCTCCGGAAGCAGTGCTCTGGCTGGGAAGGCTGTGGGCACTGGGGTCCTAGCTTGCCTGCTCCTACCCTCTCGTGCAGTCTTCCGCTTAGGTCTTGTTTATTCCTGGTCCTTTCCTGCGCTGGCGCAAGAGGCCGCCAACCGGAGAGCAACGCCTGCCTGGCACGGGAGCCAGCAGGTCCTGCTGACAGCGGGCCACAGGCCTTGCGTCTCATGTGGGTGATTATGTGCAGGGCTGGTGGTCAGCCCTGGGTGTTAGTGGTCAGTCCTGGGAGTTACAGTTTAAAGAAAGAGTCTTGGGCAGTGGTTTGACCCAGTGCAGCATATCCTTTGATCTGACTGCTGCTCCCACGAGCACTGATTGTGGATCCAGACAAGACAAGATCCTTGACGACTCCAACCATTTCCCCTGATGCCACCCACTGGTCCCGTGTTGAAGATCTGGGTCTTCTGTACAAAGGGGTTGTGTCCATGGTGAAGGCTGCAGTCCTTGATCTTCACCCACAAGTGCCTCAAGGCCTCCTCACTTTGAGCACCAAGGTTGTGCCATCTGCGTACCGCACACAGGCGGTTCCTACGCCTCCCTCCCTCCCTGATGCCACACTCTTCTTCATACGCCCCGGCTTCTCTGATGATTTCTCAGCACACAGACTGAATAAGTTTGGTGAGAGGATACAACCTGACACCTTTCCCGATTGTAAACCCTGTTGTCTCCCTTGTCCTGTCACACACTGCCTCTTGCTCCACGGATCCCTCCATCCAATTACAGGTGGCACAGGAGCACAGTGCCGTGCTTTAAACTTTGAAGTGACGCAGAGCAGGGTGTGACTGAGGACTAGGTGCGCCTGATCCAAGCTGTGGTGTCTGCCGTTCACCTCACTTGCCTGTGAAAGTGGGGGGAATAAGGAGGACTGAAGAAGCATCGGCATTTGCACTAGGCTGCTGGCAGATTAGTGAAGGTACCATGGCCTGCCAAGGGAAGCATGGTTGGAGTGCTTCCTAGAGGCAGGGATGGTGAGACCTCGTCCACGTACCTTGGACATGAGGTCAGGAGAGACCAGGCCCTGGAAGGACGTCATGCTCAGCAGAGTAGAGGGGCGGTGTTTGGCTGTGTTGCACCTGGGGTACCTCAGCATTGGAACCAACGTGGTGCCCCCTCACAACAGCAGTACTGTTGGGGGCTCATACTCAGTGTTGGAGGTCAGTGGTCAGTGCTGGGGATGCTGGTGGTTGTCAGGTCTCATTGAGTCCGTTCCAACCCATACTCTGGTCAACAGACTGGAAGAGGTTAGTCTTGAGAGTTAGTAGTGAATATTAGGGATTAGTGGAAATGGTGGGGTACCTCGGGCCTCTCTCCTGCAGACTTTGGCTTAGCTCTATTGGGGTTAGTGGTTCACATGGGCAATGAGTGGTTAGTGTTGGGGGTTAATGGTTCGTGTTGGCAGTCAGTGGTTAGTGCCGGTAGTTATTGGTCAGTGTTGGGAGTTAGTGGTTCATATTGACAGTCAGTGGTTAGTAGTGGGGGGTAGTAGCTAGTATAGGTAATTAGTGGTTAGTATAGGACATCACTGGTTATGACTGGGGATTAGTGATTAGTATTGGAAGTCCGTGGTTAGTAGTGGGGGTTAGTGGTTAGTATTATGGTTGGTATTGGAGTTTCATGGTAGTATTGGGGGTTAGTGGTTAGTAGTGGGGCTAGTGGTTAGTATTGGAGGTTTGTGGTTAATATGGGAGGCTCGTGGTTACTAGTGGCGGTTAGTGGTTAGTATTGGAGTTTCATGGTAGTGGAGGTTAGTGGTTAGTATTGTGGTTGGTATTGGAGTTTCATGGTAGTAGTGGGGGTTAGTGGTTAGTAGTGGGGGCTAGTGGTTAGTATTGGAGGTTAGTGGTTAGTAGTGGGGATTAGTGGTTAGTATTGGAGGTTAGTGGTTAGTAGTGGGGGTTGGTGGTTAGTAGGTTAGTGGTTAGTATTGGAGGTTAGTGGTTAGTAGTGGGGGTCCGTGGTTAGTAGTAGGGGTTAGTGGTTAGTAGTGGGGGCTCGTGGTTAGTAGTGGGATTAGCAGTTCACATAAGGAGTCCGATACCTTGTTGGAGGTGGGCTTTCGTGGCTTTATTCTCAGACAGGGGTGCACCCTTACAGCTCCTGTACTAGATATAAGTGTGATTCAAAAAGGGCCGCTGTCCAGTTCCAGCCCATACTTGCATGAGCTTATTTAAACAGAAAGCGTCTCCCATCAGTGGAGGACTTTGGACACACTCTCTCGGTGATGCACGTGTCTTACTCTCACAGGGAGGGAACCTTAAACATGGAGGGAAACGATGAGTCCTTTAGGGGCCAGACACACAGGGAGGGATCTGGCCACCAGCCCAGCAGCCCACGGTCAGCTTGGCCTTATGCACGAGGCTGATTGGGCTGCACTCTCCGTGGGCCACCTCTGGGTCCCCGGCATGCTCACTGCTAACCCCTGTCAGGCCCGGGAGTGTGTCCCCTGGTGCTCCTGGTCACCAGGGAAAGGGGCTCAGTGGCCAGGTTTGGAGTCCCCACAAATCTCTGGAACCGGGGGTGCCAGTCTGGGTGACAGGAACCTGAGCTCTCAGGTTGGGACAAGCCCAACCATCCTGAAGCGCACAGAGGACGCAGTGTGGTCACTTCCCCAGCACCGCCGGGCCCGCCTGCCCGTGGGATCGCGCCTGTGCAGAAGGCAGGCAGCAGCACTCCGCCTCCGTGTTCTACTAGCGGGCAGGAGTGTGGCGAGACGAGCGTGGGAGAACCTGCCAGCATGCCTGTCGTGGGCACAGAAGCCGTGCCGTCTGAGGGGCAGCGGCCAGTGTGTGAGTGGGCAGCCACCAGGAGCACGAAACCGCTGCTCGGAGAAGTGACCCAGCGGCGCTGCCAAGAGAAAAGCAGCTGTCTCGCTGGCCCTCCCGCCAAGGCAGCGCAAGTCCAGGAGGCGCGTGGCCCGAGCATGGCCAGCTCACGGTGGGGATGGACCCCGAGCCCCTGCAAAGCCGCCCCCCAACTCCCTCCTGGAAATGGAGCGTCATGGGGCTAGACGTCCCTCTTCCTTCCTCAGCCACTGACACTGGTTACCACCCTCCGTCCTCACTGCCCCAGCCTGACTGCTGGCCTCGTGGGCTCCCTGGTCCACTCGGTGGTTCCTGGACCCATGCACTGTGCCCAGCCAGAGTGACAATGAAGCAGAGGTCTAGCCTGGCACCGCTGTGCACATGCCATGGCTTGGGTGTCCTCCCTGGGTGGTGTGGTCACCATGCCCCACGTCCTGGGACGCTGCGTCACCTTGGGCCAGAGAGGGGGGCCAAAAGAAGACCGTCCCTGATGTGGGTCGGCCCAGTGGCTGCCATGGCAGCCCCAAACACGGCACTGGCTGTGCGGCTTGCAGGTGCAGGACTGTGCGGTGTGTCCAGAGGTGCGGTGGCCTCCCTTCCGACCCAGCTTGGCGGCACATAGCAGTAGGAGCCCACACTCCGCTGCCCACAGCCTGCAGCCAGGATCATTTCTCTGGGTGGTTTCTTAAGGTCATTTCCAATCAGCTTTGTTCTAGGGCCAAAGGAATGAATGATCCCGAAGGTCAGCAGTTCAAAACCACCAGCCACTCCTCGGGAGAAAGGCAGGGCTTTCTACTCTTGTAAACAGTTCTAGTCTCGGAAAATACACAGGGTCCGTTCTACTCTGCCCTCTGGGGCCACTATCAGCCACTGAGTGTGGAGTTTGGGGACATGGTGGCCAGACTCTCCTGGCAGATGGGGGCATCCAGGGGTAGCCTCCTCACCCTCAGAGTTATCTTTTCTTTTCTCTGGGGCCAGGACAGCCTTGTTTTGGTAGAGCTGCCCGTCTCTCACCAGGGCTATCCCAGAGCTGCCCGGGGTGCGGAGTCCCTGCTCCGTGGGAGTCCCTGGGCTGTTGGCCTCTGCTTTGCTTTTGCCTTACACCCGGGGGTGGGTTGGGGGCAAAGGGGGCTGCAGGAAGCTCCTGGGAGAGAGGGGGTGGGAGGAGAGTGGGCTTTCCTCGGAGACCTTGAAACAGCCTCACCCTGGCGATCTGATTTGGGGGCGTTCCACACAGGCCCCTCTACCCACACACAGCCACTGCGCCCTTGCACCCAGCTTGTCCATAGCGCTGGGGGTCTGCTCCCCTGTAGCCATCACCATTTCCCCTTGGATGCCCCATTGGTGGACCTCGCCCCTCCAGGAGGAGCCTTTGCAGGTGTCCCCTGGGGGCACCTTCCGGTCACTCCGTGGTGAATTAGCAACGCAAGTCCTGAGCATCTTTGGGCAGGTCCCCAGCCTGGGTCGCCCCAAGACTGTCCTAAGAATCCTTGGGTGGGGGAGCTGCTGTTGCCTGTCACATGACTATACAGATGGGGTGTCTGTGGTCACCCCTGGCCGGGCCATGGCAGGCCCGGGCGTGATGCCTACCCTGTGCTCTGCCCACAGACCGGCCTTGCACACCGACTGGCGGCCCGGGAGGGCTCCGTGACCCAGCTGCCCCTCTACACCTCACCTTCCTTACCCAACATCACGCTGGGGCTGCCCGCCACCGGCCCCTCTGCCGTGAGTAGCCCCTGGGGGATGCCTGCAGGGCAGTTGGTGTGACAGCCTGTGTGTCACAGCCATGGGTCCGCCACATGTGGGAGGGGCCACAGCCCTGCACCCTGACCGTCTCCTTCACCCCAGGGTGCCGCCGGCCAGCAGGACGCCGACCGCTTGCCGCTCCCCACCCTGCAGCAGCGCCTCTCCCTATTCCCTGGCCCCCACCTCGGCCCCTACCTGAGCACCTCGGCCCTGGAGCGGGACGCAGGGCCGGCCCACAACCCCCTGCTGCAGCACCTCGTGCTCCTGGAGCAGGCGCCCGCACAGGCGCCCCTGGTCACAGGTGAGCCAGGCCTGTGGCGCTGGCCCCACGGCAGGCCCCACCCCCACTGGGCGGGGCTGAAGGACAACAGGCCCCTCCCCCAAGGCCCCCCAAAGGGCAGTTCATGCCAAGTGGATCTAACTCAGGGTGGGGGTCAGCGCGTGCTGGGTGACGCCAGCATGTGCCCCTGAGTTGTGGGCACTGTTTGCGAGGGGATGGCCAGACCTTGCTTCCTGAGGGCCTGGCTGGGGGTGGGGCGGGGACTTCACAGGCATTCGGCCAGGCGCTGAGCGCCTTATTGTATGTGCCACCTGGAGAGACTACAGACTACAGACACCAAACCACTGCCCTGGAGGACAGTACGGCTGCCCGGGGTGGGAGGTGGGGTGTCCCAAATGGCCGGCCTTCATTGAGTCAGGCAGCTTCGCCTTCTCCCATGGAGCGGCTGGGGGTTCTGGACCTTCAACCTTACCATGAGCAGCCCCGTGCTCGACCCACTGTGCCAGTGGGCTCCCGCACCACAAACCGTTTCCTTAGCCGAGAGCCTCTGCAAGACAAGTGGGCCCGCCCCTATTCCCTCCTTCCCACCCCCGACTGTTCCCTGGACTGGTCTCTTGCAGGCCTGGGCGCGCTGCCCCTCCACGCGCAGGCCCTGGTGGGTGCCGAGCGGGTGTCCTCATCCGTGCACAAGCTGCGGCAGCACCGCCCGCTGGGGCGCACGCAGTCGGCGCCTCTACCCCAGAACACGCAGGCCCTGCAGCACCTGGTCATGCAGCAGCAGCACCAGCAGTTCCTGGAGAAGCACAAGCAGCAGTTCCAGCAGCTGCACGGGGGCCAGGTGGGGCCGGGCGACACGGGGTGGGGGTGCTGGGTGGTACGGGGGAATAGGGGGGCCAGGGGGGCCTGTTGGCACTGGGGCAGGTGGGGCCGGGCAGCACAATGTGGGGAGGAGGGGGGCAGCTCACCATGGGCCCAGGTGGATCCCTGGTCAACACAGGTCCGAAGGGGCAGCACGGGGCCCACGGGGCAGGTTTCCACAGCCCACATGTGCTCTGAGCTTGAGTCAGGCAGGTCTGCAAGCGCCGCCCCCCGTCTCCCGTACCTGTAGTAGCTCCGCAGTCCAGCAGGAACCTCGAGTGGTGGGGAGACAGGAGGGAAAGACAAGAGGTGGGGGACGGGAGGATGTGCCCACTGTCACCCTGTGAGGGCAGGGTGGTGCCCGGTCAGCCCCCAAGCCCTATCTGACACAGCACCCTGTTGCAGAGCGTTGTCGAAGGGGAGGTGTGTCCGGGTGTGAGTGGGCCCTGCACTTGCTCAGCACAGAGGTCTGTCTTCTGAGGGACAGTGACCGTGTCTCCTCGTTGAGTTAACATAACAGGACGTCTCCAACTCTGCCGTGACCCCCAAAAGCCTGGGGCTGGCCGCCTCACAAGTGGTGGAGCCCGCTACCCAAGGGGACCACAGCGCCCCCAAGAAAGCAGGCGCCCCTCAGACAGGCCCCTTCTCTAGAGTTTGTGAGGAGCGGGGGCGGGTGACTGCTATGCTGACCTTCGAAATGGGAGCCAGGCTCTCCACTGACCATTGCCCAAGGGTCGCGTTGGGATAAAGCCCCTCTGGGTGGCCTCCCCAACCCCCATCACCTTCCTTCTTATGGACCCCCTCTCCAGAGGAGACCTACCCCCTTCAGCGCCCCTCTCCCTGCAGATCCTCCCCAAGCCCAGCGAGCCAGCACGGCAGCCTGAGAGCCACCCGGAGGAGACGGAGGAGGAGCTGCGGGAGCACCAGGCCTTGCTGGAGGAGCCCTACGTGGACCGGCTGCCAGGCCAAAAGGGGCTGCTCGTGCTGGGTGGTGTGCACGTGAAGCAGGAGCCCCCCGAGAGCGACGGCGAGGAGGCCGAGCCCCCGCGAGAGGCTGAGGCGGGCCAGCGCCAGGCCAGCCAGCAGGAGCTGCTCTTCCGACAGGTGAGCTCAGCGGGCCCAGCAGTAGCCTCCGTTCCCCAGGGTGGCGCCGTCAGTGCCCGTGCTCCCCACCTGACCTGCTGCGTCCAGTCACGTCCACCTCAGAGTGACCCTGACAGGGTTCCCGAGCCGATGAACTTTCACTGGAGCAAACAGCCTCGTCTTTCTCCCTTGGTGCCGTTAGGGGGTTTGAACAGCCGGCCTCGATGTCAACAGCCCAGCGCCTAGCCCACTCTGCTCCCAGCCCAGCCTTTGGCGAGCCCCACACTGTCCCCACTCGTACTGCCTTCTGCCAGAGCCTTCTCCCCATCACCACCTGGTCCCAGCCCCACTGGACACTGACTGGGCCTTTCCTAAGTCTTTCACCAGCTCCTCAGTGAGGGCTCCCACCCCCAGCCCTGGAAGCATAAGTGCACTTCATACCCAAAGACCTGAGTTCTGGACACAGACCTGTGGGCCAGGCAGACTTCTCCCAGATGGCTGGCCAAGACTATGGGGCCAGCCCCTGTGTGCTCAGCAAGGGGGGCATGGATGGATGGATGGATGGATGGATGGATGGAATGGGGGGAGGGTGGATAGAAAGATTGATGGATGCATCAATGAATAAGTGATTGAATGGATATGTGGGTGGATGGATGGGAGGAGTGATGGAGCAGAAGGTGAGTTTGTGGATGGGTGGAGAGAGATGGATAGATGGATGAGTGGGTGGGTGGATGAATAGATGGTTGATGAACAGGTAGTAGATGGATGGGTGGGTGGGTGGAGAGATGGATTGTGGTTGGTGAATGAATAGGAGGGAGGGAGGGAGGGAGGAAGGGTGGATGGATGGATGGATGGATGGATGGATGGATGGATGGATGGATATACTGATAGCTAGATAAATGGATATGTGGGTGGATGGATATGTGATTAGTGAATGAATGGATAGAAAAATTGGTGGATGGATGAATAGTTAGATGAGTGGGAGGGTGGGTGGGTGAATAAATGGATGAATGGATAAGTATATTGATAGATAAATAGATGGATGGCTGAGTGAGTGGATGGGTTGGTAGATAGGTGAGTTAGTGGATGGATGGATGGATGGATGGATGGATGGATGGATGGATGGATGGATGGATGGACATGTGCATGAGTGCATGATGCACGGTTGGTCTGTAAGAAAGGCTGCGTGTGCATGTGTACTGTGAGGCATGAGATGACCCTGAGTCAACAGCAGCATGCTCTTCTCCTGGAGCAGCAGCGGATCCACCAGCTGAGGAACTACCAGGCGTCCATGGAGGCAGCCGGCATCCCCGTGTCCTTTGGTGGCCACCGCCCCTTGTCCCGGGCGCAGTCCTCCCCGGCAGCCGCCGCCTTCCCTATGTCTGTGCAAGAGCCCCCAGCCAAGCCACGCTTCACAACAGGTAGTACCACAAGTGGGCCGCACAGGAGGGGGGGGTGCTGCAGCCCATGCCCAGTGCTGCTCCCGTAGGGCAGTGGGGGCGGGGCTGCGCCGAGACCCAGCTCACATGGAGTGGGGCTGAGTGGGCGGGTTCCAGCGTTGCAGGTCACAGCAAGAGGCACCCACCACCCAGTATCCCCACCCCCCACTCCCCCACCTCACAGGCACCACTGCCTTAGCTCACGGGACTTGGTCTCTCTCGAGCTCTGGGCCTCAAGGTCTTACTCCTTTGGTCACTCCCATATCTGCCAAGCCATGTCCCCTGACCAGAGCCAGCCTCTGGGGGCCAACCACTTGGGGACCCACCCACACACCCATTCACCCACCCACGCAGGTCCCCACACACCCAGTCATCGCTGTTCCCTGCAGCTCAGCCGGCAGGCCTGGGAGAGCACCCTCATTCTCTTCTGATGCTAAAGGAGCACAGTCCTGCTTCACCCTGCCCTGACCCCTGCTTTTGTCACCCCCACCCGCTGGGTGCCCCGCAGGCCTGGTGTACGACACGCTCATGCTGAAGCACCAGTGTGGGTGTGGGAGCACACACAGCCACCCCGAGCACGCCGGCCGTATCCAGAGCATCTGGTCTCGCCTGCAGGAGACTGGCCTCCGGGGGAAGTGTGAGGTGTGCAGCCAGGCGGGGGAGCAGGGGTCCGGGGACCCCCAGGGAGGGCTGGGGTGGGTGGGTGGGGCTGGGCCCCGTCTGATCACTCTGCAGGTCTCCCGGGCCTCCATCCCTATGTGGGCCAGGAGGTCTCCTTTGAGGTGGGTTTGCCCCACCTTATCCTCTTCCCCACACCTGTGGCCCCTTGCAGGGCCAGGGCTGCTCTCAGCCATGTCCCGTAGGCCTCTGAACCCCCACATTGAGGTTTGAGCAGGGACAGTGCATATGGCAGCTGTGGTGAGCGGGCGGTGATGGCCAAGACCTGTGGGGGTCACTCAGTGCCCCCCATCTTTGGAGGAGGGGCACACAGCCAGGTCCAAGGCTCCCATCAGCACCTGGCAGGTGGGGTGAAGAAACTTCTAGAAGCCTGTGTGGAGCCCTGGCTTGACCACTGGAGGGCAGCAGAGGCTCAGCTGAGCAGGGTCTGCATGGGGTCAGTTCCTGCTCCTCCTGCTGGATCACGCAGGAGGGCACCCTGCTCTGAATTCAGTCCCCAGGGAGCCAGAGGGCACCCCACTCTGAGTTCCTCCCAGGGAGCCAGAGGGCACCCTGCTCTGAGTCCCGTCTCCGGGGAGCCCAAGGGCACCCCACTCTGAGTCCCGTCTCTGGGGAGCCCGAGGGCACCCCACTCTGAGTCCCGTCCCCGGGGAGCC